TGAGCTGTAGTTGCTCATGCACTGAGCTCTGCTCTCCCCCTCGGATCTGGCAAATAAGTAACTAGAGAAAGATCAGCTCTGCTTCCAGCAGGAGGGCAGCAATGCACACGCATGGCTTGGGTTTATCTCATGTCAATCCCAGCTGCAGCAGTGTGCTGGGACTGGCTGCGTTATCCCAGGTCTGCAGCGTGCAGCTATTTAATTAACTTCTGACTCCTGGTTTAAAGGAGCGGCGTGCAAAACAGTTATTTACTTCATTTGGAAATCCTTTTAATCGTTGCCGTAATTACAGCTTCCTGCTCTTTTTTTTTTGGATATTTTTCTTAGCCAGGGGGAAAGGAGGGGAGGAGGGGGAATATTTGCCGTTCTCCTTGTGGTTATCACATCCTTCAAATTACTAAAAGAGGCTGGGATAATAGGTCTAGTGATTATATATAGGCACCATCTGCTCTGTGGCTGCTTCCTATCAAAGTGCAGCGAGGAGAGTGCAAGGAGGATATTTTCTCTCCAGCTATATTAAGACTCTGTTTCCATCTCGGCTCCAAAGCGAGGCTCTCTGAATGCAAATGGATCAAATGTGCTGTAATCAATGGCTTGTTTTTGGCAGCCTTGAAGCTGAGCCTTATTTTTTTTTCTTTTTTTTCTTTTTTTTCTTTTTTTTCCCCTCCTCGAATTTGCTGTTCCTATTCATTATGCAATTCTGTGCTCAGTGTTTTCTTTTAATTGCGGTCCCCGCCGTTTGCTGAGTAATGCAGCCTGGTGTCAGCACGGAGATCCCTGCTGTAAGTCGAACGCAAGGAAACGTCTGAGGAAATGCAGATGTTTCAGGATGATTGGGGTGGATCTGTAGCACACACGAGCTCTCAGTTTGCAGAGAGGAGGCAGAAAGCTAAGATGAGTTGATTTGGGATGATAGTGAGAAAAAGTCAACGTGATAAGAGCTCGTGTGTGGTGCTGATGGAGGCTGGTGGGGATGGTGTGTGCCTGCATCCTGCTGAGCATCCCAGCTGGCTGGAGCTGGGGGAGGTGGGTTGGGCTGAGATGCAGAGGATTTGCAGAGGTGCCTGCATGGCCAAACTGCGGATTTCAATGAGCAAAAGTGAGTAAAAAAAGGAAAAATGAGAAGAAAATCCCAGTTTGGACAAGTTAGTGAGCACGGAGATTTCAGTACTGTATAGCACAGCAGCTGGTCCTATTTCAGAGTGAAAACATCCCTTTCAGATGCAATTATAGAACCATAGAATCATTAAGGCCGGAAAAAACCTCTGAGATCCCCACCCCAGCTCACCCCACCATGCCCTCTGCCCACGTCCCTCAGTGCCACATCTCCATGGCTCTGGAACTTCCCCAGAAATGGTGACCCCACCACTGCTGGGCAGCAGTGCCACTCCAGCATTGCTCTTTCAGTGAAGAAATTCTTCCTAATACCCAATTTGAGCCTACCCTGGTGCAGCCTGGGGTCATTCCCTCTTGCCCTATTGCCAGTTAACCTGGCATCCATCTCTTCCACTTGTCCTGCTCAGAGTCCTTTGCTTATCCTACAGGTTGCACATTGCTCTGTAGAGGCACATTGCTGACTTATGTCTTCCAGTTTGGTCTCTAGAAATGATGTAGAGGATGCAGTGGGTTCTCCATTCGAAGAGTATTATGTTGTAGAAACTAATGCAGGTGTTTCTCAGGCTGGGGGTCTTACCAGTGACCAATGCAACAGCTGCTGGAGGCATCCCACAGGGTTTTTCCTACGTCCAGACTTGAAACATGTTTTCCAGCTTGCATGGCTGCATTTGACCACACCAGATACCGCCCTGGGTTTGCCAAAGTGATCCAAGAGCTCCTAGCAAAAATTAATAAATTCTAAGCTAATGGCTGAGGCTCAGCTTAGCACAGCATTATTATTAATGGATCAGAATTCCCCGGGGGTGATTTGTGTATGAATGTATGAAAGAAACTGCATTTATTGGCCAGGAGAGAGGGGCATTGCACCCACCTGGCTCAGGGCAGACCCTCTGTGCCCCAGTGCCCATTGCCTGCTCCATTCCCAACCCAGCCTGGATGGGGCCCCACAAGAGCTGTGACACTGACAAATAGGTTATTGTTGCTCTGTCCAGTGCTCTTCTTGAACAGGAAACAGCATTTTCAAAAGTCGTGGGGTTTTGTTTTTGGTGGTTTTCTTTTTGGAGTTTGCACGACAGGCTTTTCTGCTGTCTGTGCTTCTTCCTGATTCCTTGGCTCAAGGCTCGCTTTGCAGTGCAGTCCTTTCCCTATGCAGTGGTTAAAGGGATGCGAGGTTGGTTTTAAAGGGTACCCCAGCAGCTCGGTGTGTCACCCCAAAGCCAGATTTGGAGGTGAATGATGCTAAACTCGGGAAGCATAGGGGTGACCCGAGTTTTCTCCTCACTGCTCTGTCCCTCCTGCAGCATCCCATAGCCCAGATGCAGACCCGCTCCTTCTCTACCCTTTTATTTTTGTGCCCTGGAAAGCTTGGTCTGAAACCCAAGAGTGCTCCGGCAGCACAGCACATATTTCTCAATGCTGGCCCTGGGATATTTATTATATTTTTCCCTAGGATGCCAAACATCTCAGGCTGATCTCAGAGGTGTTATATTTAGCAGTGACGGCCAGGTTGTGGCTGTCCATGGTTTGGGTGTGATTTAGGAGTTTTTATTGCAGCAATGGACTGAAGCTGCCCAAGATAGAGCACGTGCAGCACATTTATTTTAGCAGAAGACCGAAGGAGCAGATTATCCCAGCTCAGCCATTGGCATCGCCAGCTTCACCTCAGACCACCCAAAAAATGCTCCAAAAGCAGGGAAGGTGGTGATGCTTTCAGGGTCATCAACTGCATCTGTTATTTCAAGAAGCAGAGAGCAGAAGCCCAAGCAGCAGCATTCATCAGTGTGCCAAGAAATGGGCACCCACGCTGTGTCATGCTCCTGGGTCAAGCATTGCCTGCCAGCTCCGGGGCCTCCTACCACAATTACAAAGTAAGATTGTAATGTGCAGCATCCTTTTTGGAGGAGTTTCCCTACAGCATTTCTCAGGAGCTGTGTGAATGGGCTCATACAGCAGCCTGCTGGATGCTGGCTTTGTGCTATCTCAGGAGAAGAAGTGGAACTGATTTTTATGTGTTGCACTGGGTGGTTTCTAATTGTTCTTGACCAGCCTGCAGAGTCCATTATTTCTCCACCAGCTGACGCCGGCTTCTAATTAGGGGATGTAAAATGAAGATGGAAGAGCAGCAGTTTGCAAGGGGATGGTTGCTCAGGAGGAAATCCGTGCTGGATTCAAGCCCAGAGCATCCTCTTACTTGGGGAGAGGACAGCTTGCAAGCAGCAGCCCTGTGCTCCTTACAATGATGATCCTACAGTCAGCTCGTGCCCTGCAAGCTCCTGTGCTGCCCATACCCCATTCCTGCTCCTCTCCTCTGCATGAATATTTCCTTAAAGGAATTCATCCTACAGTAGTTCAGAGTGACCTCAGCCCCCTGGATATTGCAGGGCTTGGCGCAGTTCGGCTTTCCTGGCTGAGCCACCAGCACTTAAATACTTCATCCAAGAAAACCTGAAATATTTCTGTTTTCCCATCAGGATGTGCTGCAACTTTAGGAAATGCTGCTTTGAAAACAATTCCAGGTCTGCACTGATGTCCTTTTCTGTCAAGAGGCTTCTGCAGGGCATTTCTGTAGTTGTTTAATGGGAAGAGAGCACATTCCTCACCACGAGCCACTCTTTCTGTGTGATGCTTGCAGTACATGCCAGCAGGGAAGGCACTCTCAGCGACAGGAATGCTAGAGATGTTCACTGATTACCCCACAGGGGAATCATGGACTGGAGGGGCATTGAGGCATTGCACGGATTGCCCAGAGAGCTGGTGGTGCCCCATCCCTGCACACAGCTAAGTTCAGGTTGGACGGAGCTCTGAGCACCTGATAGAGCTGTGGGTGTCCTTGCTTACTGCAGAGGAGTTGGATCAGAGGGCTTTTAATGATCCCTTCCAACTCAAGGGACACCGTGATTCTGTAGCTCTGGATGCAGAGCTAAAGCAGATTGTCCCACTAAACCTGCAACTGTGTGGGGTTCCCCAATGATCCTGGATTCAGAGAACTCTGAAATAATTTCAAATGCAGGAGTTAGCCATTGCTCTTTTCCCAGCATCATTAAAATCATTTGTTAGAAAGAAATTGAGCTTGACGGTGTTAAAAATGTCAGGCAGGAAATACAGACATGCATAAAACTGGGAAGAAAAGCAAATCCAAAGCTTTGCAGGGAGAATTATGCGGTGGGGGGACTCAGACTCACCTCCATGTCCAGGCTCTGCTTTTCCTGCTGCTTTGCATTTTGCTTTTTTGGGGAAGGCAGCATGCAGATGAAAGCATGCCTGCTGGGCTGGGGAGCAGGGATGCTCTCATTACTGACGATAGCTCAGCTGACTGCAGGAGCTTGGTAGGACTTCAAGAGGCTGAGAGATCTATTTGGGTAATAAGTTTCTCCACAGTTACCTTAGGCAGATGTGCAAATGCTCTTGCTTCAGGGCATGAGCACAGTGCTAACCCAGAGGGAAAAGCTTCTCCTTCTGAAAAGCTTCCATGCCTTTCCCAGCAAGGGTTGGTTCTGGGGCAGCGTGTGATGGTAGCAGGGTGTTTAATGAGCTCAGCCTAGCTGCTTGAAATTTCCCATTCTGCCTGAAATACCAGCAGCATCCTCCTTGTCAGACAGGCAGCAGCTCCTTTTTTTGGCTGGAGAGAAACCCGTGGCCCACCCGTTCCCAAAGCATCCCCATGGAGCTCGTGTAACCCCATCTTGTTGCAGGTACTGGGAGGCAAAGAGCAAAAGACAGGGCAGGATTCCAGCACCCTGGGCACCATGAAGGCCCTGGCACCGAGTCACCACCCATTTGATTTTTTTATATATACATATATATATATTTTTTTTTTTCGGGGGACTCTGCTGCATCCTGGGCTGCAAGGGGGGAATAACCTGTTTGATTTTATTTTTTTTCAGTTCTCTCAGGCCAGACACACCACAGCCCTTTGAAACGCTCTGTGTCCCTTACCCCACCCATGAATGTGCCAAACCAGCCTCTAGGACATGGATGGATGTCTCATGAGGACTTACGAGCTAGAGGACCCCAGTGCATCCCTTCCGATCATGCCCCCCTGTCTCCACAAAGCAGTGTAGCCTCTTCGGGAAGTGGTGGGAGTGAACATTTAGAAGATCAGCCTTCCGCTCGTAACACATTCCAGGAGGAAGGGAGTGGTATGAAAGGTGAGTGACAACTGAGATGCCTCCCCCCCTTTTTGCCCCTGCCTGCTCCCAGGACCTTTTTGGGGCCATTCTGGGGAACTCGGGCTTTGGTTGCACCCTTGTTGGTGTCATCGCTGCATCATCGTTTTGGTCTCACCACGATAGGGTGATGGTTTAGGCTCCAAAAAGCTGCATTTTCTCCATAGCCTGTGGATTTTAGCTGCAAGTGGTGCTCTCTTCCTCTTTCATTTTTCCTATTACAGTGAAAAATAAGTTTAGCAAGTCGTGGGTCATTTATCATTGTGGTGGTTGGTGTGACCAGAACCCCACCATGTATCTGGGGCTCAGGATGCTTGTTTACACTGACTTCAACCTGCGTATTTCAGTTGTTTTTCCCATTTTGCCTGCTTTTCACAGAGACTTTTAGTAAGTAAGGCAGAAATGAAACCTCGTTGCTGCAAAGATGGAAAGCAAACGCCAGGCTGTAGGAGAATGAATCGCTGTAACTGTGCGGAATGGGCAAACTCACAGCCTGCGTGTTCTTGTGAGCAGAGAAAATGACTGGAAATGAACTCACAGCTAGCAGAGACTTATTTAAACAACTGCTGTCAGGCATGCAGCGTAACACAGTGCCAGCAGGGACGGTTGCTTCTCATTAATGCAAAGCAGCTCTATCGCGTGAAGACCGATGGTGTACTAGAACAAGGAAACGTATTTTTCAATAGTCACAAGGGGTGATTTTGTTCTAATGGCAGACAGATCTGGGTGTGGATGAGTCCTCTGTAATGTGGAGCAGAATTTGAACTGGCACAGTGTGACTTTCTGTGATTTGCATGGAAGAAATGCATGGAAACACTCCTGGTTTGCCCTGTGATGCTGAGCGCTGAGCCCCATCCCTGGTTGGGCTTTGCTTTGAGATGATGCCTTGGGACAGTGGCCACGGGCTGTGGATGTGACAGAAGGGGTTTCTAATGGGCTCTGCTCACTAACAAGCTTGTAATTAGGGAGCTCAGGCAGGGAGAACCACATCAGGCCAGGTGGCACGGAGTGGGTCTTCCTCATGTGACATCTCTCCGGGTGGGTTTCTGCTGGTGTGGCTGGGGAAGAGACTTGGCTGAGCTTCACTCTGCATGATTGCGACCTGGGTGGTAATTTTCCCAGAGAAATGCATTGAATCCCCCACACCTCACCCATATGACCAAGCCTGCTCAATTTCCTACACAGAACCATACATAACAACCAGAGGTGCTGTTGCCCATTCGGACCTCCCTAACCCATCCCAGTCTCTTTGTCACCGCTTCCCCTCCTCGCCCCTCTCTGCAGGATGCTTCATGCACATCCCTGCTCTGTTCCCCCACTGCTGAGTCAGACAATCTGCTTCTGTCCCGCTCTCAGGGACATGCAAACCAGATGTCTGCAGCCTCTGGTCTCATGCCCAAAGTCTGTCATGCCGTCCCCTCAACTGTATTTCCTTCAGGCTGCACTGATCTGTTTTATTCCCAGTTTTCTAAACTTGGGGTGGTGCTTCCTTCTCTCCTCTGGGTTTCTTCCATAAAGCCCATATCCTTCTGAAGATGCATTGCCCAGAACTGGGCTTTGTATCAGAGCTGAGCAGAGAAGACTTGGTTGCCATATGTACAGGGTTCTGGTGCTGTGCAGCTCTCTGTGCTCAAATAACACAGCAGCGCTGGCTGCGTGTGATCCATTGTATCCCCACATCTCCTCTGCAAAAAGTACTGCCCGTTCCCTGCTCTCATTCTGTGCCGTTTGCTGTTCCTACATCCGTGCACAACTTCATGCATTTTTATTGGATTGTGTCTTATTTCATCCAGACCGGGTTCTGGCTTTGCCAAATCCATTCTGAGCTGCAGCCACGTCTTCTGAAGTGCCAAACTTACTCTCTCTTCCACCCTCCAGGGCAACCACTGGATGCATTGGGGCCCACCAGGACCCCCCATCCGTGGTTCGTCTCCCCTGATGTTACATATTTCTCTATTTTCCATCCATCTTCATGCTGAAGGAAACACATAGAAGTCCTCATCCTGCTGCTCACATTAGACACAGCGTTTTGGGCAATCACGCCATGACTTAGCAATTAGGTCCCAATAATTGGTGATTAAGAAGTAGCTCTGTGTGTGGAAGGCCAGATCACTGCTCCACGGGGTTGCTGGGGAGCTGGGCTTTCCAAGGGCCATGAAATCACCTTATGCAGCTTTGCACATCCTTATTTTCTGCAGGGTTCCATGAATGTGTGAAGTTGAATCTCTTTTCTGCCAGTGTCCAGTTGGACTTTGCCATTGACTTTGTCCTGTGCCAAAGGCAAATGTCCCCAGGGCATAGGGGAACAGGCAGATCTCTAATGTACCATCACTAGAATGTTGTGTTTCCCATAAATGAAGCTGAGATTCAAACCTGCCAGGCTCTGTGCTGGAAGCAGAAGGCTTGCTGTTAATAACTTTTCATTTCTCAAAGCAGAAAATTGGGGTGAGGCTTTTGGTAGTGGGATTTAGAATTGTCACCTGTTGGGACTCTTGGAAAATGGCAAACTTCAACTTGCCTGTGCTTGGTAACTGCTTTGCCCCCTTGTTTGGCGTGAGGTTCATCTCCTTCAGGGATTTAATTGGAACACAAATCCTGACCTGTGTCAGTGGACAGAGCCTGTCAGTGGGTAAGGATGGTTTGGGTTGGAAGGGACCATCCACTCCCAGCTGCTGCCATGAGCAGGGACACCTCCCACCAGCCCAGGGTGCCCAAAGCCCCATCCAGCCTGGCCTTGGGCACTGCAGGGATAGGGCAAGAGGTCTTATCAGGAGGATGGGAGCTTTGCCTGTTTGCAAATGAAAACTCACTGGGGACTTGCTGAGGTGGGCTGAGTGTGGCACTGGGGTCTGTACAGGGATGAGACACAGGTGACCCTCCTTTAGCAAGCAGCAAAGGGGTCTGTGCATGGGAAAGTGGATACTCCTCTCCCCTTGATGGCCACATTGAGCAGGCAGAGCCCAGGGAGCTCTTTCCCCTCCCACCCTTGTTCATGGTCAGTGCTTTCCTGGCACAGGCAGTCAGGGCCTACCATGTGCTCTGCCTTACATGAGTGTGGGCTTTAATGCTGTTTGGGGCTGAAATGCTGTTTTTTATTCCTGTGCAGGCTGAGATGATGCAGGTAGATATCTCATTGATGAGGCAGGGGACAAGGACTGATGGGACTGATGGGATTGCTGAGGGTGCCAGTGGAGTGCAGTAGGCTTGGCAGGCTACGTGGTGCTGTTCAGGTGCTAAATGAGTCAGATCCCAATCTGCCAGAGCATTTGAAGCCTTCAGGACATAGAGCAGAAGCAGCAGCATGGGCTGAACCCACCACCTGCAGAACCCAGGGGAGACTCTGAGTGGGGCTGGAGCTACAAAAGTGGGTTTTGGAGACCATCTTTGACAGCATATCATTTCTCCCTTCTCCAATGTAAAATAATGACAATCTCTTTGTTTCTCTTTAAGCAGCTATTTAAATTTTCAGCACTCATCATCTTCCCCCACGCCATAAACCAGTGTCTGTAAGCTGCAGCACAACCATTTGCTGGTGTTAAGCTCAATCCCACCATTCCCTTCTGCAGCTTCCATGTTTCCAACAAAGCATGAGGAACATGCCCATGCCATGGCACAACACCAGCCCCCCATGTAGCATCACCAAATCACATGGCTGCAGATGGGCATCAGAGCAGCCAACTCAGCTTTAGGAAAAGTCCTCAGGTCATTTTGTGAAGGGACCCTTTGTAGGGACTGAGTGTATAGCAGTGGGTCTGGATCCACTGAGCTTGGTGGGATGCTTTGTGATGACTGGAGCAGATGCTGGAACACATCTTAATGGTTTTATCTTGGGTGTAGTGTAGACAAGAGCGATTGGATCAGAGTGGTTTCAAGAGACAGGAAACTAACTCATGGCAACAGAGTTGCTCACCCAGGGTCCCCCTTCCATCATACCCATAGCATCTCACCCTCTGTAGGGCCCCGTGAAGTTCATTTGGGCACCCGAAGCATCAGTGGGATGGCAGATGGGGAAAACAGCCCTTAAAAACCCCTCTGTTGCCTCCTCAGTTGACCCAGCTGTTGCTAACACGTGTCGTTAAGCAGCATCATAACTAACGGGGAGCTCTTGTCCCATTGCCCTTGTGCTGCAGATGTTCCAGCCTGGCTGAAGAGTCTCCGGCTGCACAAGTACGCCGCTCTCTTCTCACAGATGACGTACGAGGAGATGATGGCCCTCACTGAATGCCAGCTCGAGGCACAAGTAGGTCTGCAGGAGGTCACAAGGCTGTCAGCCCCAGCGCATCCCACTGGCAATGGGATGCCTGGGATGCATCTTGGTGGTGGTTGGAGAGCAAACAGCAAAAGGAACATGGAGTGTTGGGAGAGTGAAAAAACACGCTGTACTTTGAGAAGGCCACATCCCTGGTTTCTTACTGGAATTCCCGTCTTCTTCAGAGTCACTGGGAGCTGTGCTTGGGGTTTGGTCTTGTTGGGATTTGGGCGTTTTGGGGGCACAGTCTTCAGGTCGTAGCTCCCGAAAGTCAGTGGGAGTTTGGTGGCTGATTTCTGAGTAAACCTTTGAGGATGTTCCCTGTCTTAGCTTGTATCTGTGTTAGCCTTGGTGTAAAAAAATCCAAGCAACACCTTTGCTTTCACTGTTTGAGATATACCAGGGTAGGGATGGGTTAGCTGGAAATCTACATCTCCAGCAACTTCCTGAGTGATTTTCTATGCAGATCAGAAATTGGATTAATTTATAGCAGCCCTTTCCATTTCGGAGGGAAGGGCTTTGTGTTGCTCAGGCCACCTCATGGAAATGGTAATGCCAGGCTTGTGCTGTTTTTGCAGAACGTTACCAAAGGCGCAAGACACAAAATAGTCATCAGCATCCAAAAGCTAAAAGAAAGACAGAACCTGCTCAAATCATTAGAAAGGGTAAGTAATCACAACAGCTTTTATGTTTCCTGTTTTCCCCCACAGACCCAGTGGGAGCAGCTCGCCTGACCTTTTGCTATTTGTTATTGGGATATTGTATTATATTTAATTGCACCATCCTCCAACAGCAACCAACACAGCCTCCCACTAGGGGCCTTTAAATACCTCTGTGGTGTGTTGCTATTTATTGGTGTTTTCCTTAGCTCACTGCTTCACTATTTATTTATAATACAGGATTGTACTTGGAGTATTGCAGAAGCTAATTAAGTCATATTTATTGCCATACGTTAATAATTACTGTTAAATCCAAGAGGCAGCCCACTGGATTGAGCTCACCTCAGAGATGTGTTTTCCAGCCTCTACTCCTTCCCCTCCACGTAGGTTTTGGGATATGGCATTGACCACAAGCCCAGCCAGCTATGTATGGAGGGAAGTGCCAGGGGCTGCTTTGCATAGAATCACAGACTCATGGTAGAGAATAGCTTGGGTTGGGAAGGACTTCATGTCCAGCTTTTTGTCCAGCAGGACCCTCCAGTCCTCCGCAGAGCAGCTCTCAGTGATTCTCCTCCTGGTCTGTGCACATGCCTGGGATTGCCCCGACCTAAATGAGCACTTTGGCCTCATTGAACCTCATGAGGTTCATGTGGGCCCACTTGTCGAGCTTGTCCAGCTCCCTCTGGATGGCACTCATGGCTCACACACTTGGGTGTGGGCTGGGGGATCTCCCTGTACCATTCTGCTGGGACTCAATGCTGCTGGACTTGGGAGAAGGCATCTCTGGTTTTCCAGGCTTCCTATCCAAATAGTTTTCTTTTTTTTTTTTTTTTTTTATCCTGAGGTTAAGCAAGAGCGTGTGTGTGTGACTTGATTTTTTTGGGCATTGTCTTGCTGCTGAAGATCACTGCTTTCTTGGAAAGAGGCTGCTCCACCCTCTCTGCCGGTTAGCAGAGCAGCAGATTTCCCCAGAAAGTATTGCCCAACAGCCTGACGTCGTGCATCCCTGTGTCTCCAGGCTGAATTTTTTTTTGCTGCAGGGATTTCAGTTCAACTGCAGGCTGCACAGAGCTGTGGGTCCCATCCCTGGAGGCACCCAAAGCCATGGATGGGGTTTCAGACATCCTGATGTGATGGGAGGCGCCTCTGCCCATGGCACGAGGTGGGGCTGGGTGGGCTTTAAGGTCTCTTCCAACTCAAACCATCCCGTGATTAATGGTGCTGGTGTGGTTTGTAAGCCCTTTCATCACCACAAATCCTCCCTTGCCTTGAACCCACAGGACATCCTGGAAGGTGGCAACCTGCGTGTCCCGCTGCAGGAACTACACCAAATGATCCTCACCCCCATCAAAGCCTACTCTTCCCAAATCTCCAGCCCGGAGGAGCACAGCCGGGACACAGACTCACATCACCCCCCCTCCCTGCTGGGCTCAGACAGCCAGGGCTCCGATGGCAAGGACTCTGCAGCGGGGGGCATGCAGCAGCATCACCTGCCAGGCTGTGAGGGTGAATCGGGGGGCGGCCCTTTGCCTGAAGGTGACCTGCCTGGACAGTTCACAAGGGTGATGGGGAAAGGTGAGAGAGGTTTTGGAAGTGTCCCATACAGGCTAGCTGGGTCTAAGCCCCTTTTTAAACTGCGGGGTAGATGTAGGATATTCAAACATGCAGGTGCTGTTCCATGCGGGGTGTAGGGTTTGCATTAGGGATTAATGTGCTAGGAGGTGGATGGTAGAAGTGCAAGGTAGAGAGCAGCATCATGTGCCATACACAGGGCTGCTGCAGCAGGTATTTTAGACATGTCCAGCTTCCCCTCCACAGTGTCTGAGGTGTTCAGACTGGCTGCATCCAGCAGGTGTGCACAGAAGACAAGAATAGAAAGAAACTTCCTGGGGTGCAGTGGGGAACAGCAGCCCTGTTAAAAACCTGCTGTCATCTGCTGCCTTTCACATGTTGTAATGGGGAGATGGGAGGGGGGCAGGTCCTGCACTCCTGGCTTGCTTGGGTCTAATTCTGGGGACTCATCTGGATGGACACCAGTGTAACTGAGAACAAAATCTGACCCTAAATATAGGACAGGAATTAGGGACGTGCTTTTTTTCTCATTGATAGAAGGGAAGGGGGGATCCAAGGCCCTGATCCCAGCTCAGCTGTATATTCCCGTTGATTTTCCCTTCTCTTTCTTGCAGTGTGCACACAACTTTTAGTTTCCCGACCTGATGAAGAGAATATAAGCTCCTATTTACAGCTTATAGACAAATGTCTAATACACGAGGTGAGCTGTGACAGATCTTGTTGTTCTCATCCCTTAGAAACTGTTTCCAAAGTATCTGTTTATGTAAACGCTCTGGTTTCTAACACAAATATTTTTGGGGAGTATTAATAGTAATTATGGAGCCAGTAGGGTGCACAGAAACACTGCTCCTCCAGTGCTTGCATGGTGGCATAGATGTGGAGCTGGGAAGTGCCTCGTGCCAGCCTGGCACTACTAAGCTCCAAGCTGTGCATGCAGCTTAAATAAAAGAAAAGCTGATTTGTGAGCATCCAAGGAGTGTTCCCACTGAGCTGGTACCCACAGGGAACCCTGGAAATGGTGCAAGAGGTACAGCTGTGCCCTGGGAAGGATAGGGGAATCTCTGGGTGTTTTTTTTATCATAGAATCATAGAATATCCCAAATTGGAAGGGAGTCACAAGGATCATCGAGTCCAATTCCTGGCTCCACACAGGACCACCCAAAAATCAGATCATGTGTCTGAGAGTAGCGTCCAGATGCTTCTTGAACTCTGGCAGCTCAGGGCTGTGACCACAGCCATGGGATGATGCCACTGCCTGCTGCTTTCTGTGCGTGCACATACACAGCCCTACTCACTCCATCCAGAAAAATACTCACGTGTTTCCTATTTTTTTTTTTTTTGGGTGGACAGGCGTTTACAGAGATACAGAAGAAACGGCTGTTGTCATGGAAACAGCAGGTGCAAAAACTCTTTAGGTCTTTCCCTCGGAAATCCCTCCTGGAGCTGTCAGGCTATCGGCAGCAGCGGAGGTACGCGGGCACTGGGGAGGTTGGAGGGATGGCAAACAGTCCTGGAGCTCCATTTTGAATGGGGATGCTCATACTGCTGCCTGATGCTACCCCACAGCCTGGCCCTGATCCCAGGCATCTAGCAGATTAAATCCATCCAGAAGCAGGAGGGCAGCGCGATTGCACCCGTTTCACAGATGGGAAGCTCAGCCAGCGAGGAGCTGAGCAAGCAGAGGGCATCCCTGTGCCACTTCTCACCCTGCCTACTTCCCTCCTGCCTTCTGCTCATTAGATCAGGGCTGGAGTTACACCAAAAAGCCATCAGAAAGCTGGCAGATAGATTGGAAGCCCGCTGTTAGGGAGCACGGTGCTATGAACACATTGTTTACTCATCCACGGTGATGCTGGGATTTGGGTGATCCTAGCATGCAGTTGGGTTGTTTCAAGAACAAGCTATTTTTAGACCAGTTTGAACAATAACGTCAGCCTTTTGCTTCATTCCACTAAATATATGTGATTGCAATCAGCATTCCTTGCTGCCAGAGCAAGAGGGGGTGGTGGGCAGAGGGGACGTGGTATTGCCTTGTACCTTGCATTTCATAGGGGTCTGTCAGGATCGTAGAGTGGCTTGGTTTGGAAGGGACCTTAAAAGTCACCTGGTTCCACAACCCTACCATGGACAGGGCCATGGCCTCAGGTCAATGTCTGCCCCCATTACTTCCATTTGTGACTGCCTGATCTTGGGTGTGGGCCATTCTGCTGTGGACCTGGGGTTGTGATGTTAGAGCTGGTCCCACCACCTGGCTGCCATTCACTACATCTGTCCCAAGTAAATCCGTGGCTCAGAAAGCCATTGTGACCAAATCTTACCAAACTGGGGAAGACTCAGAGAGGGCTTTGTTCATAAAAACAAAGAGGAAGAAAAGGTTCCAACAGCATGAGCTGAACCTCTATCAGACACTAAGGAATCCAAATGGGAGAGACTTCTTTTGTGCTCCAGCTGCAAGATGAGTTTAAATCAAACCCCAAGAAAACAAACATCACGAACCCATGGTCGGCGGGTGGGAGGGCACAGAGCCTCAGGACCTCATTGCAACCATCACAAACCCACCTGGGGAGCACCTCCAGTCTCACCCCAGCATTTCTCTCTCTCTGCAGCCGAGGCTTTGGGCAGTCCAACTCCTTACCGACAGCCGGATCCGCCGGGGCAGGGCTGGGCAGACGAAACCCCCGCCAGTTCCAGATCCCCTCCCGCAACCTCCCCACTGCCCGCCTGGGGCTGCTGGGTCCCAGTGGGCTGCTGGGCACCCCACAGCGCAGCCCTGCTACCAGCCCTGCCATCCTCAAGCAAGGCAGACAGGTTGGTCTTGCTCGTGGCTTTGTGGGGAGCAACCTGTGGAGTAGGGAGGGCAGCTGGGTGCTCAGAGTGGGAGAATTGAGCCCATGGTGTACTTTGGTATTGATATATAGGGGAGCATCACACCTGGGGGTGTGTGTTAATAAATACCTGGCAGGAGGGGCTCAGATGGGTGGGGATGGGAGCATCACTGTCCTGATGCACACCAGTTCCCTTCTTCCACTGTTTCCCATCTCCCACCAGTTTCCATCTCCTGCCATTCCCCATCTCCCACCATCTCCCATCCAACAGCACCCATCATCTCCCACCGGTTCCCACCTCACTCGGTTCTTTGCATCCTACAGAACCTCTGGTTTGCCAACCCTGGGGGCAGTAACAGCATGCCCAGCAGGAGCCACAGCTCAGTGCAGAGGACGCGCTCGCTGCCGGTGCACACCTCCCCGCAGACCATGCTGATGTTCCAGCAGCCAGGTAGGAAGCAGTCGTTTCCCTTTTTGCTTCTCCTCATCCCATGGTGTGGAAGTGGCCGTGCCAGCCGATAGCCAATCTTGCTCTTATTTAGGACATCATGCCACCAGGATGCCTTTGGAACGGGTGGAAGCAGAGATACTACTTGGCCCTACACATGACACCCCAGCCGTGCCGGTGCCCTGCATAACTTCCCTCTGGGGCAGTTCACTTTATGGGGCATGCTGTCACTCTGTGGTCACTTTGTCACTTGCACGTGAACTCGGTGTGGAAGAAGTGACTCGATGCCTCAAAGGAAATTCTTTTGCTAATGCCTATGAAAGTGAACGCTCTCATCTCTGCTTCCCTCCTGAACACCTGGATAATGTCCCATAGGAACTTGAGGAGCTCTTGTAGGAGCATCCTCTGATTCAGTGGTTCCTGTGAAGTTCCCATCCTTCCCGTGGTTGTGCTCATCCCCATTCCTCTGGGCAGCCCTCCATCACCCTTTGAGCATGGCTTTTCTTACTATGGCAATTCATATGGGGCATTACACCCCCTGACAAACTGGGACCAAGCGTGGCCTCCCACGTGTGCTCTATTTAAAGCTGGCACTGTGTGTGACCTGCGGGCTGAAATGCCGCCGGGCTGGGGGTGCAGATCGCTTACAGCCCGGGTATTTGGGGACAGGGCAGTGGAAAAGCCAAGGGACAGCAGCAGCACCTACAGCCCTCTTGCCCATCCATCTTGTGTTGCCACAACAGCTCTCCCTGATTTATCGGATCGGAAATATAGGATTTGTAGGATAGGAAACGGAATGTAGGATTTATATGATGGGAAATACATTGATAGGGAATGTGAATAGAAACGTGGTGATTTTTTGCAAACTTCTCTTTACTGAGGTTATTGCACTGGAAAAAGGAATGCTAAGTGCAGTGATAGTGTGCTGGGATGCGGGTGGGCGTTGGGTGGAGTGGGAGAAACCCAACCAAAAGGAAGCCAAAGGGGTGTAGGGCAGGTCCCCAGAGTGTCCCCTGACCCAGCTCTTCTGTCCCTGTCTCTTGCAGAGTTCCAGGTGCCGGTGACTGAACCTGACATCAACAACAGGCTGGAGTCCCTGTGCCTGAGCATGACGGAGCACGCGCTCAGCGGTGAGCACTCCCTCCTCCTTGGGCTCTTCCAGCACGTCCAGGCGGCCTCAGCCAAGCCCCCCAGGGGCTGCCCCACGCCCCCCAAAGGCTGGGACCAGCTTTGGCTGTGAGAGATGTGACAGGGTGGGATGGTTGCTGCTCCCATGGAGGGGTCTCAGCCAGCTCTGTCGAGACAGAGGGGTAAAACTAAACGCAGGGATTGCGCCTGGCGCTGGCACAGCCTGTGCTTTTAGCCACTAGTTAGCTTGCTAATCATCATTAGTGTTAGCTCACTAGTCTGCTGTTAATTAATGACAAAGCCACCCAAGCTCTCGAATGGTGCACAGGCTTCAGAGCGCTCTACCCCTCTGCCAGCCCAAGCCCTGCTTTGCTGGGGGACACGGGGACCCCCAGGGCTGCAGCCATCCCTTTGGGGTCGTGGCGATGCTGGCAGCCTGGGTGGTGACAAGGAGCAGGGAGGGAGGAGGAGGGCCAGGCTGCAAGCAGTGCAAGAGGGGAGCCCAGGGAGGCACCGGACACGCCGTGACGCAGCGGACCCGGATGGCGTGGGGACGCCAGGATGGGACGAGCCGAGCAGCCCGCATCGTCCAGAGCCTCCTGAATACACGGCCCCAAAAGCCACAGACTGTCGGATGGTGGAGGATGGGAACCCACGGGGAGGACACGGCTCCCTGCAGCGATGGCACTGCCCAGGGACAGGGACGTGGGAGCGAGGACTGGACGTGGCAGCAGGGTGCTGGCCGTGGGCACAAGGACACTGCTGTCACCGACGCGTTCCTGCGGCGCGCGCCCAGGCGAGGCTTAGCTGTGTTGTTCCTGTGCAGGGTACTGCTCCTCCAAGTTATTTGTTTTTTTCCAGGTCGCATTTCCCCCCCCCTACCCCCCAAGCCTCTCCAAACCAGCTGTGCTATAAATAGCTCTGCAGAAAAAATAATATTGAATAATAATAATAAACCTTTGGGGGAAAAAATATCTAAGAGTAACAAACCTGTTTGTTTTCAAGTCTTAAATCCCGCCTGGCTGAGCAGAACAGGCAGTGCTCTGTTGGGGTGGGCACAAACCCAGCTGTGTGCTGCCCCTGAGTATCCCCTGAGTGTAATGCAGCTCATTCTGCATTGTGCAGAGTGGGGGGGGGAGAGGGTAGCCCCGCTCTGCACCCCAGGGATTGGGATGGGGTTTGGAGGAGGGTTGGGGGTATGCTGTGGTTCGTGCCAGGGAGCATCTTGTGCTGGGGGGGGGGGAAGGGGAGGGGCTGGAAATAGGATTGGGGTGCACTTTGTGCCCCGTGGCAGCCTCCTTGTGCACTGGTGGAGGTGGAGGGATGCTCGCACTGGGTTCGGTTGTGCAGCTTTGGGTTGGGTGGCACATCCTTGGCTGCAGGGCTGTGGGCTGGTCGCATCCCTGCTGTGCTGGGTTGAAAGGGCTGTGGGGCTTTTATCAGTCGGTACTGCTGGGTTGGATGATGTGGAGAGGAGCAAGGTGGTACCACAGGACCGGATCCATCCCCACGTGCTGGAATGGGGAGTTCCAAATTCATGGCCACATTGCCACCAAGCTGTCAGGAACCCCCGTCTGCTCCTGGAAAAGGGGACAGGGGGCCATGGCAGGAGCAAAACCCCACTCTGGCCATGGTACCGCTGTGGGTTGCAAAGAGACTTTGGGAGGAGAGCTGTTGCATCAGCCCCCCAAGACCCTATTGCCACCCTAAGGGAGGATGGATGTGGGACGACCCCGCTTCCGTCCCACTTCACGGGATGAGCAGGGGCAGTCAGGAGCAGAGCAGTGTGACCCCAGGGCCACCCTTAATTCTGCCTTCCCACTTGCAGACGGTGTCGACCGGACCTCCACCATCTAGAGGAGGAGGACAGCCTGATGGCGGCGGTGCTGATGAGAGAAGAACTGCTGCAGGTCCAGCGGAGAGGTCCAGGCACGGGAGCCTCAGCGACAGCTTGCATCCTTTCTGTCTTTCTCTCTCTTCCTCTCTTTTCTCCTGTTTTAATTTGGTGAACGTGTAGATTGTCCTTGTGAACATACCATTAGACTTGGAATTTGTGTTGTCCTTTCTTACATCCGTGCTAAAAAAGAAAAGGGGGGAGGGGGGGAAGAGAAGAGGGGAGGGATGGCAAAGAAAGAAACAACGCTGAGAAAAACAAACTGCAAAAAATGCCTGGGGTGGGTGGGGGGTGCGGCAGAAAAGTGCTGACTTTGTGGTTTCTCCATGGGCAGTGAATGTCACCTGTGTGTGACCAAAGCCCTTAGGGGAGGATTTGCCATAGGGGACCCCGCGGGCGCTGCCAGCTGCCCCGTCCTTGTCCTCATCCCATGGGGGCCGGGCTGTAGCCTATGCAAAAAAAAAAAAAAATGCCCTTGGGACCGGTGGCTGAATTATAAAAACCAAAATCAAACACACGCATTAAAAAAAAAAAAAAGCAGAAACAAACCTGCCTTTCTGTTTTGCAAAGAGCACCCGACACAGAGATCCGTCTGTCGGTGCGGTGTTGCGGGGTGCCCGTCCTGCTGTTGGGTTGTGTCCGTCTGTCCGGCCGCCCTTGTGGCAATGGACAGTGAGGGGCTGGGGATGTCGGTGAGGGGTGATGCAGTGAGTGATGGGTGTCCGTGTCTCTGTTTTGTGTGTGTGTTAGCAGAAAAGTGCTGCATCCTGGGTTTGCACATCTGCCCAGCCTGCCCAAACCATCGCTGAGTCGAGGCATCGCTGAACGGTTGGGTTGGAAGGGGCCATAAAGATCTTCTGGTTCCACCCCTGCTGTGGGCTGGGTGCCCCCCAGCTCAGTCTGCCCAGGGCCCAATCATAGCCTAAGCACCTGCAGGGATGGGGCACCCACAGCTCTGAGCAGTGCCACGGCCTCACCATCCTCTCTAGGTAAAGAATTTCCTACTAAAAGCCCCTTAAAATGGGGTTTCCCCAGCCCTGCAATGGGGTAATCCTGGCCACCAAGTGGGAGGACATTCTGAAAGAGCAGAACCAACCAAGTGAGAGCAGGCACCAAAACTCAGCCTTGTTATGGGGCATAAAAAACATCAGGAAGGGGACGTGAATGATGGTCACCCCTAATGGGCTTAGTGGAGGAAATGAGTAACACCTAAAGAAATCTGGATGCTCAGAGCAGGAAGTGAATGGTCGTGATGCCCCTCTGGATGTGTTTTGCTGTAAGCACTGCAGTCAGTCCCTACTGATAGAAGGGCGTGTGAGCAATGAGATTCAGTCCCTACTCATATATGAAGCTGTTGGGTTCCCAACACTGGCTCACCCCATAGCACCAAAGGGCAGCTCCAGTTGGGGTTTGACCAGCAGTGCTGCTCTTCCAGGGACTGAGCAGGGCTGGCTGTGCAGCTCTCGGCAGATGTGCAAATCCATTGGCGATGCAGCACTTTTAAGTAGTTTCATATGCATCTATATATATATATGTGTGTGTGCATATATATATATATATATATAAAAAGAAGTGCCAAATGCAGTGTTTTACATTTGCTGTTCCTTGGTTTGCTGTTGACCGGAAGGTGTTGAGGCGATGTTTACTTGGGGGAACGGAGAAGGGAGAAGCAAAGTGGGAGTGCTATGGGACAAGCAGGGCAGGGCGGCACGAGGAAGGGCCCGAAATCCTATTTATTCCTTTGCTGAATATAGAAACAAGAGGTTATCTGATTGTTAAGAGAGATTATTTTGGATATATTACATATGAATGTGCTATGGCTGGTAACCATGATGATGTCTGTTATTAACAACCGCCGAATCATTCGGGTTTTTTGTGTTGTTGGTTTGGTTTTGTTTTTGTTTTTTTTTCTCTTTTTCTCAAAGCTTATTTTCCATTGGCAGTGTATGGGTTAACGGCTCTTCCGTTGTGTTTGCTGTTTCTTGTGTTGTTTTTTTTTTTTTTTTTTTTAAGTAAGGAAAAGTGGCTTCAAGTTTCCATTTTGGAAGTCCCTCCTGGCTCTGTCGGAGCCCTGCGCTGAGTGCAGGTAACAGCAGAGCTCCGTTCAAAGAAACGAATCGAATCCTAGTATTTATAAGAAGACACAACACGTGCAAAGATAAATAAATAAATAAATAGATAGACAGATAGATAAAATAAAAAGAAAAAAAAAAAAAAAAAAAAAAAAAAAAAAAAAAAAAAAAAGGAAAAAAAAAAAAAAACCCAAAAAACAAAAACGGTTGCATGAATAAGGCTGTGAAGTCAAATATTTAGTAATAACGCGGCAGTGCCTTTCTTTTTTGTATTC